TCCACTATATGCTTGTTTTCTCCATTAAACCGGGTGTAGTATAATATCATATATCACTTTTGATTATCTGTCTTTACTTATAAAATCACGTTTATTTCTATTTGATGTCGACCTTATTTTTTAAAATAAATAAAATAACCAGCTCGATCGAACTATTTGAAAATTATTATTATTATTTTTATTTCTATTTGTTTTATGTATCACTAGTGCACATTATAGTTATACAAAATGCACATTAATTACTATCAGATTGCACAATAATGATCTTACTAAATTTTTTCATTCGAAATTTTATATTTCAGTTCAGTTAGTTTGTATTTATTCTTAAAAACACAATTATTTCACGTGGACTTTGATTTTTAAGATTTATAAAATCACCGAACCGACAAAAGTATATAAAAATAATAATATTATTTTTTAAATATTAATAACAATAAGTACATGTATTAAAATAATACTTATATTTTTAATAATTACACATCTAAGCCATGTCCTCAATTGTAATATATTAGATATTTGTATTATTGCAATCAAGTCCCTACATCTAATCAAATTCTCAAGAACACACCCCAAAATCTGACCCTCCACCACCTGCTGCCATATCCGCCAACTCACAGTGATGTCCGTCGCGGACGTTGACCGGTGACGTACGTTGTCGACGTTCACCGACAACCTGACCGACGAACGGAAAAACGACCAAGAAGTTCGCCTCCTTGAAGTGGTGGACGAATGATACTTTGCCGGTGGGGCCAGGAACAAGAGATAGAGGACAGGGCTGTTGCATGATGGTTGGGACTTCGGACGACCGACATGAAGATTGGGCAGAGACCGACGACGGTCGTCTTGGTGACAAAGTCCTTTTGCGGCGGACAGTTGTAGCTCTAGATATGGAATCTCCGGCGGATGCAACTTGACTGGCGAACGAAAAGACAACCGAGAAGTTCACCTCCTTAAAGTGGTGGACGATTGATACTTCGCTGGTGGCGGCAAGAACAAAAGATAGACGACAAGGGTCGGTGAACGACGGTAAGACTTCGGCTGACCGACGTGAAAATTGGAGAGAGACCGATGAAAGTCGTCTTCATGGCACAATTTTTTTCGGTGGACAGTTGTAGCTCCAGATACGGAATCTCCGGCGGATGCGCCGGTAAGATATGTGGCAGTAGGTGGGTTGACAACGTTTGTTTATTGTGTGTGCTGTGTGAGTGTGTGTGTTAGTGCGTCTTTGTGTGTGTGCAGCGTATGTGAGTGAGTGTGTGTTTTAGGTGTAGTATGGTTAAATAGGCACATTTGACCACATAATGTACACTTATTTACGAAATTACCATCACATGTTTGACTACCATATCTAGTATTTGACTTGATCATGACCACTAATATGTTGCATCAAGTAGTACGAATTCATTCGTATTTCTTTCACTATCTACATTTCTCATCTGATCTATTATTTCGTACTTACACTTATACACAAGTTAGAACACCATTACGTATGCTATTTAGAATGGTGCACTTGAGCGGAGGCAATAAAGCACCATATCTTAAAACTATAAACTTCGGAGTATGATTTCTCAATTTAATGACTCGCCTTACCTTAATCTAGTTAAATTTGGGGCCAAACATGCTATTATGTCCGAGATGAATTATGTCTTCCCGTTGATCTTATCCTCTCTTTATCTCATCTCATTTTATTATTTAATAATAAATTGTCCCCACTTCCAAAAGTATCAATCTTGTTTCTCCCCATCAAACACACATAATAAATAATACAAAAAGAAAGAAAATCTACTCCTCTTTCTTCCCCAAACTCAAGCATTTTCTCTCAAAAACTTCCTGAGAAAGATGCTTGAAGTGAACTCATGCTCCGCTGTGGGGATGCTGCAAGAAACTTAAGCCCTCCTTCCTATTTGTTTTCAGAAAACAGAGAAAAAAATGGATTTTGGGTTGGCGTGCTATGAGCAAACCTCTTTTCTGGATTCAAATAAGCCCAAGGACGAAAAGGGCCATGGATCTGGGCAGCTGAAGCACCAAAGATCCGATCTTTCTGAGAATAACAACAACAACGATGATGTCTTGAAGCTGTTCAAGATTCCCATGCCTGGGGAAGTTGATTTTTCTTCGAAGAAGGCGAAAGGGAGTTTATTTAGTACTCCGGTCGGGAGATCCGTTCCGTGGTTCCCGGCGGACGACGGAGATGGACATAAAATGCTCTCATTTTCGTCGGAGGCGCCTCATTCCGGCGGCGGCGGCGGTTCTAGCCGTAGTATAGCGTTTTCTATTTACCAGGATGACCATTATACTAGAGCACGAGGTATGAGTAACTCACTCACTCACCAAAACCGAAAAAAAAAATCTTT